CCATCTAAACCCATTTATTTTTTTACTTTTACAGTTTACCATAAAGGCCCACACTTAAACGTCAATTTCATCGTCTTTTCCATTTTCCGAACATTCTTAGAGGCGTGGCTCCTGATCTGACATTAGTGAGGTCACTTAATTTTAAAATTTTAGAAATAAATTATAGCTCTTGTAGGGAGAATTAATTGCTTGATACTATTAGCGTTTGAATAATATTCAGAAAAAAAATGAAAGTATATTTGAGAACGTCTATCCTTAAACTGTATCTGTAATATAGTTATTGGGTTCTACTTCTCGTACCAAGCGTTTTTGGCAGTTGTTTTAGGGTACCATAGAGCTATTGAAAAACAGCCGCAGGGTGTCATCGAGAAAAAAATTCATAAAATCTTGATAACGAGAACATATCTGCTTTTCATGTCATCAATGTATTGTTCAAGACCCTACTATAATGGTATTGCAAAGGAAAATTCATAGATAATTATCGACTTACGCAGGCAAGCCATGAATATGACAGAATTTCGATGTTTCAAAAATCGAAATTTGGCTCGATCACACTCGACCGTTTTTATTTAATTACTCTCTAAAAAAAAGATTAGAAAAAACTAACCCTGTTTTGGTTATTTTGGTACAAAGGTCTATCGATATAGAAAGTATTAGCGAAATCGATTTTTTGGCTGCGTCCGCCAGTTCGATGATCATATCTGATTTTGACTGACTGTTCCTCTTAATCTCCCTGTCCCTGTTGTCACAAAATGTGATAAAATAACAAATTTTTCCTTCTATAGTTAAAAAGGGTGATTTAATGCTTTTCTGGTGACTGGACCTTTTCCGCAATGTTTTAAGAGCTGAAAATTAATTGGAAAGATCTGTATTGCAGACACTAGGAATGTCAGTTATTTTCCCAGACGATAAAAACATTCTCTTCATTTGGCTGCTTGGTTTAATTTGGGGAATTTCAAAGAAGTTTCTGGTCATGAAGCACTAACTTCCAGGGGTTTCTTAAACTACGGCCTAAATGATGTTTATACATCTTCATTAGTTTAAAAGCCCACCAAAATATTTCTCCAAATCAAGAAACTTAACCAGAGCCAGTTTGAGAACATTTTACAAAAGTGTTATCGCGTTTCTTGACATGTTCAAATGAACCGTATCAAGATATTCTGCAAAACAAATTTAGATCTGCAATAAAAAAAGAAAAAATGCAGGGACCTTGCTCTCTCTCAGTGGTCAGTAATTTTGATGTTATGACTGACACCTTGTTTTGAAATGATTTAAAGATAACGGCTATTTCTGGTTCTTTGGCTCTGTTGGGGTCAACAATTTAGTTTGTTAACCAAATCTTGTCATTCAACCACTTTCGCGACAAAATAATTTGAATATATCAACAAAGTTGAAATGGCAAATTGGCCAACGTTACGATTATAAAAGCTGACGTTTCGAGCCTTAGCCCTTCGTCGGAGCGTTTGAATAATATTCAGAAAAAAAATGAAAGTATATTTGAGAACGTCTATCCTTAAACTGTATCTGTAATATAGTTATTGGGTTCTACTTCTCGTACCAAGCGTTTTTGGCAGTTGTTTTAGGGTACCATAGAGCTATTGAAAAACAGCCGCAGGGTGTCATCGAGAAAAAAATTCATAAAAT